CGCACACAGGCCAGATGAAAATCGTCTGGTGGGTTGGATCCAACCTGCGGGCCATATTTTACCAACCCCAATGTTAGAATCACAGAGATCTCAAATTCCCTGATTGCAATGGTCAGACTTCAGTGAAAAGTTAAAGTGTTTCCCAAACACTACTCTGGGATGTGATAAAATATAATTCTATCAGCAGGCCACTGTTGTTGGCTCTACTTAGAAACATTGTACAGAAAGATACATTCACTGTGGATTCGCTCCACAATCCAAAGGTAAGAAAACAAAGTAGTTTGTTTTCAAGATTCATTTTCAGGAGCTTGAACCAAACCCTACCTTGAATTAGATTGGAACTGTATATCATAGCAAAATTTTGACCCTAAATTTGATTGACCCAGGAACAAAATGAGGCACCTGTTTATTCAAGTTTTATGTATGTACAGCTTATAAATAGGTAATAAATGATCAATACATTTTAAATAAATAGTTAAGTCAGAGAGTACAATACATCAATAGATTGCTTATGACCATTTCTAATACATAATACAGATGTGTTTGTAACCAACTATAAAAAAAATACTATTTGTAAAATGCTTGTATTTCCCTAGAATCATTTCAAACTGTATGCACATTTACCATGCTTGCACTATCTATTATTTATTAGGTATAGCTGATGGTTAATAAATACAAATAATTTAGAGATTCTGTCAATGCATCCAGGACTTTTGCTCTCCTTTATGTCAAACTACCAGCTGCAAAATCATACCAAGTAAAGCTTTCAAAACATTTTTGCTTCCTCTAGAATTCACTGAAATCAAGTCATGTAACTGAGAACATAACTTGCCCCAAAGGTTCTGCTGAAACCATTGATCTAGATTTCCCCGCAGTGTTTTCACAATCCAATTTTGTTTACACTAATGTGGTGCTTAGTTCTAGTTTATTGCTCTGTACTTACAGGCTATTAATTCTGAAGATACCATACCATGACCTTGTCCTTCTTAAGTGAAATCTGAGGCACGTATTTAGCCTTTCATCAGTTTTCCAGTCCTTGACATGGCAAATTCCCTGAAGAGCTTTGTCCTGAGGCATCTACAGACACTGGAATCCAATGCTGCATCTGTTGCCAGTCTCCTCACGGAGTGACTAATTCAGCAGAATGTGTTGGGTAAAAAGATCTGCCATCGAGCTCCAGCCCAGATCTGGCCAGTTCACAGGGTCTGACCTTCACAAAGTGGTCCAACTGATGGGATCAAAGGGTCACAGGGGCAAAAAAGGCCACTCGGATGCTGACACTTGCATGCCAGAGTTGCCAGTACTAAAAGGGGAGGGAGAAAGTGGTGGGATAAATGCAGTATTAATGAACCCGAACTGCCCATTAGAAGATACTGCAATTCAAGCATGATTGTTTCACCTGCTCCAAAAACCTATGTCTGAAAATTTTTAAAGCACCACACAAGTTTTTCACTCATCAGAACCTGTTAAGCCCAGAACAAGGCTTTAAATGAGT